CGTCGCGGAAAAAAATTGCAGGATCAATGCAATTCTCGAATAAGCGTAATTTTACTTCACGTTTCGTTTACATAGCTCTGCTTAAATTACTCGAGCGTGAAATTGACTCGGTCATCGCGTTAAAATTCATTGTATGAAAGAGAGCGCCGTAAACTTAGTTCATCGCGAACGATGTAGATAGTAAAGAAGTGTACTATTGATGATGGTAAAGTGAAATTTTTTTTAAAATCGCTGACATCTCCTGCATGCCGGCATTTTCGCTAATGATATCGCTGAATGCTCAGCGAGAACTTTGATCGCCCTACTTTTACTCGCTCGTCCATCTAGCTTCACAGTTTCCGTCAGCAGGGTTGTTATTATTTCTCTTTTTTATCTCTGTGAAGTCAACGCGATGCGATTTGCGAGAAATTAATGATCAAGAAGAAAAAAAAAGTCGTATGCGAGACGTTTCACTTTCATAAGGACTCCAAAATATGCTTCAGAAGCTTCGAAAGATATAAATTCGATTCCAGTCCGAAACTGTTTCCCGCGATTTGATTCGCTTGGAAGCACACAGCGATTCGCACAACGTAAAAATTAACAGAGCGAGAGAAAGCTTTCAGTCGGGACTGTGCGTTCATTCTTCAACTCTTTACAGTTTTATACTGCAGACGTATTGATTTTACTTACCAGCGGCATAGAAAAATAGATAATGAAGAGCTGAACGAAATAAAAAGGTAGTAAAAAAGGAAATTAACTGTGGGTCTTTGCAGTCCACTTTCTGCCTTGCATTCAATAAAAGCTGTCTCTTTAAAGTCTTTTTTACTGAAAGTAGCATCGATATTCGCAATATGCATGCACATTCTAACTGACAATAAATGTTTCTTTCAAAGACCAATTCTATAAACTTTCCTTCTATAAACTTTTCATAACTATAATGGCTTATTGATATTGAGTAAAAAATGTATGTATGGAGCATGCACAGAAAATGTATCACATTTCATACTTAGTTAACAATGACACTATTTTATACATAATGTTGTCAGTGAAAGAGCGTAAAGATTTGTTATTTATCTTTTCACCAAACATGTTTCATAATAATTATTTAATAGTTTTTCATAATTATTTTCGTGACTCTTTAACGGGACTCCAAGCAGCGTGCAATCATTTATTTATTTTCGGCCTGCTTACGAACAGGTTTTGTTTTCTTGACAGACACCGGCAGCTATTTTTGCGGAATAACGAAATTTCCCTTTATTTTCGGCGAGGCATGAAAGAGACGACGCGAGAGATTAATCAGTGGTTTCCACGAGACCTACTTTCCCGTTTCCGTTCTACGAAGTTCCACGGCCCTTCTACCTCGTTCCCTCCATTGAAAACTTTCATCCATTTATAAAATCTACCGTGTGTGTTGTTAACGTGTGTGCTCGCTTAAAGGATCCCCCTATGACAGAAATTACTCGTTACTTGGCGCGCGAACGAGCTTGCAGTTTCCTCCCTAGAAGAGCAAACTACTTCGTGGAAGATACGCGTTGTGTATGCTGCGCTATGTTTTTCTTCTGCGGTGAGCGAAATCGATTCCGGAGATGTGCGCTGGCTCGGCATTCGCGGCAGTATTTATCCTACGTTTTTCAAGCAATACCAATAAACATTCATCTACATTCTGGTGATCAATTATTGGCGCAGCTGTGAAGGGATGCTATTCGTGTCGGGTTGCGTACTATTTTTTTTTATGGTAGCCGCCGCGCTTTGCTGCTGTTTCAATTTCGTCGGAGCGAGAGCATTGCCATCCATGAAAGATTCATAATCTCGATATTTTGTTATCGTACGTGTCTCTGCGTATGCGTCGCACGTAAATCTCTCGCACTCTTCCAGCAGAATTTCATTCAAGGAAAACGATTTGCAGATAGATTGTACTAACGTCAGAGCAGGCTATTTGTAAAAAATGTTTAAAAAATCGAAGCATTCCCTTGGGAATATCGCGTGCATATATACATATAGGTTTTCAATCGACAGAGCCCTTTACTTATTTCTCATAGTTGCATCAATAACAATTTTCACAATTATAAAGAATAATTGAAATACGATAAATGTCTTTTATGTGGATTTTTTTGTTGCTTTAAATCGCAAAATAATTTTTGCAAGAGTAATGTAGTAAAGAGAGAAATATTGTCCGACGAGAGACGCTATTTTATTCAGTGATAACCCATTTTACAAAACATTGATAACCCCAAGTATTCATGGGCACGGCATAGACAGTTTAGTCTTTATGGTTTCTGCTCACGCTTTGCGCGGTACGATTTAGTTTCATAGCAGAATAGAAGCTAGTAACAATACGGACGCACCATAAATTATGCCGTGAGCTTCAACAGTTTTCACATTCTATCTTTGTGCGTTACATAAAATAATAATTAGTTTCTATTCCCGTGCTGCTAAACGTCACGTTTAATATTGTTAAAAAATACAGAATTACTATCTAAAAAAATACTTGATTTTTTCTTTATTTAAGAAAAAATCTTGAACACACTTCTATTAGACTTCAGAAAACTGAATTTTATTTCATGAAGCAGCTCAGTCTAACCGAAAACTCCTCCATTATTCGTGCCATCGTTCTCTTCGCTACTCGGCGCATTTACAAATCTTGCACGATGAAGTGCGCCACTCCAAGAAAGTGCACCGCGTGTCCGGGAGTAAAAGTAGCGCAGCACACTGACTAGGATGCCAGTGTAAGTAGAAGAGGAGCAGTTCGCGCAGCCATCCTCCACCACACGTATGCAGGAGAGTAATGCAGAATATACTGCTGGCGGTCCAGGCCAGTTTGACCCAAATGTAGACTGGGTTGGCCGACAGCCAGCATGCCATGTTCCCCGAACGTCCCTCATCCACGAGTAAGCGGTCAACCCAAATCTTTACTTATATTTTTCCAGCAGAGAATCGGCCACACTCTAGTCGAATACGCGGCGCGCCAATATCAATTTTCGCAGCCGATAAGTTGATCGACTGTCACTCGCTTTCATTAACTTGCAAACCGCGCGACTAGTTTTTCCTGCACGAATATATCTCTATAATTGACAAAAGGATCGAATCGATGCTCGTGACAATTTAAACAATTTTATCGTGGTGATAATATTCGAATCCTTTGCAGAATAAATTGATTTTGAAATGTTTTACCTCTAAATTAAAATACTTAATTAGAAATATGTGATTTTTGAAACTTCTTGACTTATTTTTTGTTATTTTTTGGAATAATAATCTAAAAGTAATTTTATTAACTACTTAATAATTTACTAAATAAATATATATTTGCAAAATTGATGAACTTCTATATCACAATTATAAGCTTTAAAAATTAATATTTTTAATTAAAAACAACAAAATTATTGCTTAACCTTTCTACAAAATTAGTAATAATATTATTATATTGTAAATGCGCCGATTAACGAAAAGAAATTATTTATTATCAAGAGATTATTTATTTACTACATATTGAAATTTTTATTTTCTATTATTGTGTGAAATTACTATTTAATTTTTTATTATTGGCAACTTGGACAATGATATATTTTTATTGAATCTGAGCAAGTGATTGTTTCATCAATAGTTTGTTAAACAATCAGATTACAATCGTTTTGTAAACGCGCGATAAAAAGTCATAAAAGAGAGCATTATGTTTCAAGTGTATATTGTATTTACATCTTTTGTTATCTTATTAATCTGTTTGATATACCTACAAGTTTTGATATACAAGTTATTTCACAAAAAAACAGTGATTTTCAGGATACTTTTTCTATATTTTTAGATGTATTTATTTTTCTGATAACTAAGTGAACCGGTTGCGCTCCTGTCAAGAACGATACAGATAACTCCGAGTATTAAATATTATACGTATACCGTTGGGCAAAATACGTCGGAATTTATGATCAATTCGGTCATATTTTTCGCTCCGTTCGCTATCTTCACTGTGCACTCGTTACCACCATCATCTCTTCCCGTGATCGGGGCCACATTCGTGCCAAAGTACACCGCGAGGATATATGGGGTGACGCGCGGTTGGTGGTCCACTTTTAACGAACCTCAGTCTGGAGTTACGACCGTTCGACAAACAATTGAACTTTCTCGAAGTAAACTAAACGGCGACCGACCGTCTGCCGAAAATACCAAAATTTTTGCGGTGCGAAAAGAGTGCGAGGAAAACGTACGACGGAGTCTCGCTAACTTCGCTTTTCTTTCACGCGCAGTAAGTAGACTCGTGTTTGTAGTGCACATTTCGTGCGAAACTTGCGAATTCCGCAGAAGTTTGCGTCGAAAGTGTCGTAAACGAGGGCCAGCAGTGAACAACTAAACAAACTTCTAATACACATTTTGCCATTATAGTTGGTGCTTACAAAATATCCGATCATTTTTATTCATGATTTTTATCGATAAAAGTTGTAAAATGCTTTTTGAAGTTTATATTTTTTCTCTAAAGTTATATTTGCCGTTTAATTTCAGAATTATGGAAGCAGATTAAGTGCTTAATTTTTGTAAAATTATATTGTATTGAGCACTTGAAAATCGCTCATAACCTTAAAGCTGCCAAATTGCCGAAGCATATCACTTTAACAAAGATATATAATCATATAAAAAAAATACAATTTCGTAAATCTTTTGCTCTAACAGGTAAAAATGGATAATATGAATATAATGGATAATCAATTGAATTACGACGATCCTCAGTTTGTGACAGTACTAGAAACTTGTTTGAAAATAGAAATTGCGACGGCTAAGGAAGAGCTGAATAGTAAGTAAAGTGTACATAATATTCATACAGCATAATATTCTATGTAATTCAAAATTAAAAAAAAAAAATTCTACCAATAATTTTTAGCTAACATGACGGAACTAAAGAGACTGAAGACAATAATACGTGCTGAACTCGACAAAAGGAAGCAACTTAAGGAAAAATCTATGCAAATGAACAAAATTAGAGCGATATTAAGCAAGACTTTAACAAAGTAAGTAAAACAATTATATGCTTAGCTATATTAATATTTTTGTACGAAGTTTTTCTTTACACATATTGCAATTTTGCCGTCTTATATAGATCATACGAAAGCATTCGCGAAGTTTCGGATAATCTGGAAATAATGAAAGCGAATGCCGATGATCAATACAAATTAATTCAACTTCAATCGCAAGAGTATCAAAACATCGTTGCCGAATATAAGCAAACATGGCATGCTTATCATGTTAGTAGCAAGTTTCGTTACAGCTCACAAGTTTAGAATTTAATAACCAAAAGTGAATGATTCGTGAATAGGCTATGTACGAGAAGTTTCCGTTGGCGAAAGCCAGGAACGCGGCCAAAATCAAGTTGGAGAAACTTAAAATCGAGTACATGGTCATAACTTTTAAGAAAGCAGAAATGACGACGATCATCAAGCAGAAGCGAGATATCGACTGGATCCGAACACGCAGCAAGATAATTGAATTCGCCACCGTAATGGTGGAACGTTCGAAGTTGAAAGAAAAGTTAAGGAAGCTCAAAGTGGATGTGAATTATCATACAAGAAAATTGCATTCAATCGAAGGGGAGGTCTCTCTAGATTGCATCACATTACTTTTCCTTATATTCGACTTAAATAGGCATCTAATTCATCCATTGTTATAGCTGCAAGTGCTACGCAAGAAGGAAGAGGATCAGAAAACACTTAGGAAACAAAAAATGCTGGAAATGGCACCGCCAAAAATTAATATACCGTATCGAGAAATATACGCTCAAAATCAGATGCACAAGAAAGATCAGGAATGGAAACAAATTACGGAGTTCTTTGACGGTAAACACTAATTTCGCACTCTGTGTTCAAAAGACGGAATAAGAAAGTTAATTCACATTAATAAATATGTCAATTTGTTTAACAGATAATATATCGGTCAATACATTGGCTTTAGAAGAATTATCATAAACACAATATCACCTGAGATAATAGACGTAGAACTGGAACAGGAGAGCAATCCAAAATTTACTGCAGTTCAGGAGGAAAATATTTCTAATTTAGAAAGTACTGTCTTTTCTGAAAAAACTAATACGCGCGCCGCTTCGGTGGCACCGGATGTGGAAGCAAGTGCTGAAAAAATGGTCTTAATAGACGATGATGTAGAAATGAAAAAGACTCACGAGCAAGAGACACAGGAGTCACGCGAGACTGTTAAAGCACCAAGCTTCCGTACAAAAGAAAACTCGCTCAAGCATAGCGCGCCCAAGAATACACAGAATGAAGTTGAAGCAAAAAGAATTCGCCTTCAAAGCGTGGATAGCAGAGCAAGTAGTAAAATAACTGTTCCTCAGCAGTCGGTTATTGTCAAGAAAGTGGATTTGAAATCTCCACCTACGTCGTTTCCAAAAATTCGATCGATAGAATCAGTGCACTACAACGTTATGCCGATTACGCCGACACCTGTTCAATGTAACGCATTAGCCAGATCAAGTAATGTATCCCCTGCGTCGCGTTACGAATACTGTGAGAGCGAAATGTCCTTCGATCAAATGTCAAAAGGTTGTAATTCTCGAATTATTCAAATATGGATATATTTTTCTATGGAAAATTATATATTTATTTTGCAATTATTTTTGTTTTATCTGCTATAAAAAATTTTTATAACTAATTAATAATTTTTGTAAATCTATATTTTAATCGAATATGTATTAATTATTACATAAACAGATCTAATTTTGCAACAAGTTTTATGTATCATAGGTCTATCATCATTGTGCCACGACTCGCTGTGCAATTATAAATTATCTCCAACTTCCAATATATCGTCTATGTATATCGACGAAGACACGCGTATGGCTTCTCCTCCAAAACGTACTTTGCAGGATAAAAAACAGGCCGATGACAGGACATTACGTATTGAAATTTTCTTATCTCAAATATTCATAATTAACTTCACCGTCTTGGAATTCTTAATTTTACTTTCTTTTCAGCATTTGACTTTAGCAATTTTCTGAAGAAGACGAAAAATGACTTCACTTTATTTTGAATAAAGAGGAGGAAGATTATTTATCATTTCATTCTTATGCAAAATATGCAGTCCAGTATAATTTCAACAATGACATATTAGAAAGTTCTATAAGTTATATAAGTTCTATATCTATTGTATGTTCTATATGTTATATGTATATATATGTTACATAACACTCGTATATGTATGCTATATATACGTATATTTATATCACATAGTACTTTAGTTTCATATTACGCGTATTAATTAAGCGCGAAAAGTGATTTTTTTCTTTATTATTTCATTTATAATTATACAAATAATAAAAAATTTATAAAATTATATTAATGCAATATGTTGATACTTGAAACAATCGCTCAAACTTCGTAATCTGAAATATTGCTTGAGGTCACCGAATTATATTATGCAGTAAAAAGTTAACTTTGCCTATGTACTTGAGAAGTTAACGGCGTTTACATGGTCCCAAAGTAATTTTAGATTCTTACAAGGAGTTAAATAGCTAATATGTATCCTGTATGTACGGGCGCATCCGCAGCCCGTAGATATCAACTGCGACAACTTCGCGGCATGCATTAAATAAATGCTTGCTCACCGAGTCGCGATTATGTACTCTCCGCGAGTTTCGGTCTCCTTTACGCGTGTACTATGTTTCGCAATTTTGGCTACCGCAATTTTAGTAGAGAGCGCCGAGCGAGTTACAGCCGCTTACTTCCGCCGGGAGAAACAAAACCGGAGGAGAAATAAGACAGAAAGGAAGGAAAGTCTCTTATGCTCTCCCAGGTGGCGAAAAAGAAAAAGCACTCAGCTTTAATAAAAATAGGTCCTCGTTAAAATCCTACTTTCTGCACTCGCTTCGCGAGAACATTGCGACTCGTTTGTAATCACGCTATGATTGCAGTCTAATGGGCGATAATATCTCGCAAAGCCTTATAAAGTTTTTTAATTACTTCTGAAATTCTCATTAGGCTTCCATTTAACGTTTCCGCAATACGTACATTTTTCTTTGCTACAAACACACATGGATACTTAATTTTAAGATGAAAAGATACGTATCGCATACACGTGTCTCTTTAAATTACAATCAACGCTTGTCTTGTGTCATAGAAAATGCTTTGAAGCATAAATATTCGGAAACCGTTTCCTCGTGCGATGCCTTTTGTGAATGGTAACGACGCCTAATTAAACAAGGAAAGAATACGGAAGGAAATTTCGGAGCGAAATTGCCAGTTAGATGGACACGTTGCTAGCCGTTTCTCGGTAATTGGTAGAAAAAGCACCAAGCACGCGATATGGGGTAACTTCTTAATCCCTCTCTTCATTCTCCTCCTCCAGGGTTTAATCACATCAGCTGATGTAATTGATATAAATTAACCCGCTCGCTCGAGCGTTTCATTTGCGTCGCAAGGAGGAAGAATACGAAAGTTTGTTATTACCTGTCGTAACTTCGGGGAGCCGCCGTTTCCCACGAGGAGCCGAAGCTTCTAACCGAGAGAAATTGTGTCCTTTTATAAGCCAATGTAACGGTAGGAAGCCGACTATCAAGCTATTTTATTTCAAAAGTTTCGCATTGAGCTACGAGGAAGATAAATGGGACATTTAATGGCGCAATCGTCGAACCAGCGTCTTCCGCTTCGTGAAAGAACTTTAATCGATAATATCATTCAGAAAATTCTCAGTTAAGTTCCAATTCGAGTAATCGCTTCATTGTTGCCCGCGAAATGTATTATTATATATAGATTACGTAGTATATTTTGAGGGAATAAAAAAAATCGATTTTAAATTAATTAATTATTGAGATCAGCAATTTTTGATACTGCAGATAAATATTATATTGTGATTTATATGTTTATGGCACAAAAAGTGCGGCTCTTATCGCCTGAATCCAATGTTATTCGAAAGCCTTGTAACTTTTTTTGCGCGACGATCTTTCTCTGGCCGTACATGCTGGAGCTTTATGGATACGTGACTAGAATGCGTCGTTTATGCCTCGGCACGTCTACGAGATAACTCGCCATGTTCTTCAAGCAAGCCTTTCCATTCCAGCGAAACTCAATTGGAAACTTAGAGCGCGCGATAATTTATATTTATTAACTCTACTTGTAATATACTTGCGTATATTTTGTCATGAAGACGAATTTACTTCTTGTAATCGATCGCTCTTACGCCAATGAACGTATTTATGTATTGTAGCCTGTTCTTGCATCACAGGTCGTAATTTGAGTTAATTACTCCGTACACGAGCTAATGGTGTCTTGTTTATAAGGTACGGCTTGTAACAATGGTGTATAATGATACCGTACATACATCAATTAACACAGTGAACGACAAGATTTATTAATTACATGTAAACAAAAGAAGTAAATTTCTTCCTGTAATTAAATGAGTAAATATATTTTCTAACAACATGCTATGCAATTTGTCTTTTAAAAATATATAATTCATGTAATATTTGTCGTAAATAATGCTGAAATATTACATTATTCATATTGTGCAAAAATTATTTGTTTCTATAAACATGAAAGAAAGCTTCAACGCTTCAAAGATTAATTCTGCATCATTACCTTTATTATTTGCGATAAATATTGTGTGAATTATATATTTGTTTTTTTTAAACAAGTAGCACAGCACATTGTCGCGAAATCTTTTAATCATAAGAGGGACATTTACTTCATGTATAATTAATAAATCTTTTGATGCTCGCAGCTTTAATTCATTCTTATTTCTTACAGTAATTATTTCGCTAAATTGCTTAATAAACAATTACTTCGTAAACACGGGTAAAATGAGTCGTTAATCCTGATGAGCGAGGAATTTCGAAGGAGTAGCGAACGAAATCAGAAACATTCTCATTCCGTGTCCGCAGTAAAAAGTCCATTGTCGCTCGCGCGAATAAAGGGGTGTCCACGCTGCCAGAAGTAATTTCCTGCCCACGCCGTGTTGTGTGTACACGCCGCGTATAAACGCATCTCGTAACTTGGGTTAATTACGCCAAGCACACGGGCCGGGTTTTGGATAGGGTAGAGTCGGTCGGTCGGTTGGTTGCTTTTACGCGAAGTGCCGCCGAGGCGAAAGGGGGATGTGTACGGGCAGCCAGTCCCCACGCGGCGGTGGGGTTTAGACGGAAGCTCCCGGTAGATTAAACGACTACGACGTCGCTGATGCTCTCGCTGGAGCATTCAGTAAATTCCGGCAGCCATGGCCGTAGTGTACTTTGGCAAACGTTTTACTGCGCACACGTGGCGAGAGCTACGGGACGGTTTTTTCTTAGAGTGAAGACTCGATCAAAGATTCGATTGCCCTACGCACGTGCCGCAATTATAATTAGTAATCAGTTATTATGCGCAAACTATTTTGGATTAAATTATACGGTGTATTATTAAGGAGAAAAATTGTTTAAATTTTATTTTACTTTTAAAAAAACGATGATTTGTACAAGTCATAAATTGTTATCGTATAAAATCTTTCATTTTGACAGACAGATGTGGCGGTTGGCACCTTTAACAGATATGCCGAGAAAGGAAAATAAATCGCGCGAAATTAGATGATGCCGAGAAACGGTGGACACGTACGACTAAAGGACGAACCCCTTTTTTGCCACCGAATCGCCCGAACTGCTCTATTTTATCACGATCTGTCGATAACAGGCAGGTCTGACTAAGGGGAGCGTCCCCTGCCTCTTACGTATAGGATCATCTCGTCGGGCACATCGTAGATTCTCTCGCGAAATGAAGTGACGCCTGCGCTCGTCAGCTGCGCACAATCAATTTTTCCGTTACGCAGTGATAAAATATATGCCAAATATTCTTTTTTACTCGCAAATATTAGCAATAATGTTAATTTTGCAAATTTTATCGTGCAGCGAGGAGAGTTACGCGTTAAATAATGCTATTTGTAACAATTTGATGCGAACAAAGCTTTAACAAATGTGAAACTACTGTTAAATATTCATGAAAATAAATATCACAGTACAAATCATCCAAAAGCAATGTCGCAGCTTGCAACATTCAGTCTGTTGTACATTAAATAGTAGAGATATCTCAGAGATAGAGAACATTGTATTGCAACATTGATATAAGAGTTGAATAGACTTTAATCCTCTGACTCTTTTTTGACAATTCGCACATTTCCTCATTTTTTTGCTCATTTAAGACGATGAAATAAATTTACGGCTTATTTATAAAATATAAAGAGAATCCGATAAAAATTATTTATTTTATATCAATTTAGAATTGATAAAAGTCTACGACTTTTTATTTTAGCGAACTACTGTAAAAACGCAACGCGCGAGAGATATTAAATTATTATCATGAATATCATTCCACAGACTTCGCGGAGCTTTGTTTAATATATAGTTAATAGCCGCTTTATTGCAAAATGTAATTTTTACATGCTTTTAATCTCCGCTCATCCGCGCTGCTGTAATTGTAGCTGTCTTTTCGTAGTTGATTAATTTTGCGCATCGTTTTCCCGATATTGTACCACAATTTTGCCCGCGTTTTGTATTCATTACGAGTTCATTCGTATTATTTAACGTTTAAAATTTCACAGTTTGACACTTTCGAATAATACTACATTGCGCGGTAATATCGATCAAGCTGTTCTCGCGAGTATCTTTCTTTGAGAGCTGCGCTGTAATATCACTTTTGCAACATCGCTGGAATTTCATTCCGTCTTTACACGTTGCGCAGCTGCATCGCAACGATCATTCTGTGCGACGAGGAAGAAAGCGGAGAGATCGGTGTTTCTAACGAAGTAGAAATTCCTGCGCACACACTGGCCTTTGGCGCCAATCGCAACGAAGCGGGTATCGAGGGCTGCCTGCCAGAGAACAATGAAGGGATCAATTACCGCGCTAGAACGCCTCGCCTCGGAATTGAGACCAAAATGCTCGCGGTTACAAGTTCGAAACGGACGTTTGATCCACGATTTCGGCCTTTTGCTCTCTCACGGGCGGAAAACATTTAATTAAAGTGTCGAAAAGGATAAGTTGTTACTGCGAAATACAGCTTTATTTATATAATATAAACTGCAGCCACACGCCACATATAAAAATACGCGAAAATAACATTAAGCTTTAATTAAATTTTAAACTTATTTATTTGAATTAGAGAGTTCGTCGAACCGCTTGTTCGCCTCTAAAATTTTCCCTTTGTGGCTTAAGTACATATTATTTTTGATGCGATGAGGAAGAGACATTTCGAAATGAGATTGCAGGACTTAATCCTCCACAGCCGGATTTCATTTCGACTGATTTCAACGATCCCCGGTCGATGCCGTCGCGGTTTTATGCTAAGCTCGTCAAGTGGATATGCATTTATCGGGGCGCTGAAAGCCCCTTCAGGCTTTCTATGAACGACAAAACCGAAAGGGAGGGGAGAGGAGGGCAAAAGTTTTACTCACGCGAGCATGGACGCGTCTCGTCGCTTCCATCCCCGCAATCGTCGACAACGTTGCAGACTTTGTTGAGGGCGACGCAGTGCCCATTGGCGCACTGAAACTCGCTCTGCCGGCAGGAAAGCACCGTCGTCGCCGTGAGGATGCAGGTGCAAACGAGCCAGTGCATGTCTGAAACATCATAAAAAGTCACAGGTTTCAGTGGAATCAAAAAATCAGGGAGAGAGAATAAGTTTGGCCACTGAATTTTTCATGTGACTAGAAAATTACGGCCACCGCTGTTGCAATCGTCAAGATATTTTAATTATTACGCATATCCTTTTTATATTGTACATAATTTTCATTATATATCTATTTTACAATTTAACAGGAGTAATTAGTTATGTTGGATTATACGTCATTACGTATAATTATGTGCAATAATTGAACTTATAATGAGATAATATATTCACAGAACCATTTACAGCATTCAGAAAAATGCTCTTGCTTGGAATATGATTTATTAGGCATTCTCGATAAAGTAATTCTTTTGTTAAAAAAAATATTTGCTCGTCATAAGTGAAATGGTATTTGAATTTTCTGAATACATAGTCAAGCGAATCGGAGGATCACAAGTCAACAGAGCAAAAGTATATTTGCGCAGAGATTCGGAGGAATTGAGTTTTTCAGGAGGCAAACAATATATCGATCTTCTATAGGTACTGCTGCTTGGAATGCGCTGTCCGATAAAAATGTTTATTTATTTTTTTACGGAAATCCGCGGTAGCTACAACAATTAAACAAAAAATAACATTCACATAACTTATCGCATAACTAAATACTTGAATAAACTATTTCTCAATAAAACGTTCATCTTTTTTGCGGTAAAGCTTTTATCAATTTTATTTCTATAAATATCTCAACATTATCCATCGGAGAATGAAATAATAAAAAATAAAAAAAAAAAAACAGTTCGATATCGCGGTTATTAAGCCCAATTCAACTCACTCGCATCGCGAACTCAAACGTCGCGTACGATTTCACCTGGGATTAACAAAGTTACTACGACTAGCATAAAAATATTATTGTTGCGGCGATGATAAAGTTTCGTAACAACGTGAACGCGCAACTTTGTCCTCGAAGTTAAATCGAACAGGAACACGAAGGATATCGGGCCACGTTCTCTCGATTTCCGGCGTCGTCTGAAAGCGTCGATGTCGTTTCACCCAATTGAGGCGAAACTTTCGTTATTCTCGACTCCCTGAGGTAACCCCTGCCATAGTCTTTGCTATTTTCCTTAAAACTGGTAAAGCTGCGGTCAGCTCGAGCAAGATAGCTAACTGACTTGTTCGCCAATTGCGATGTATAAGAGTACATTCTGTGATTTCTAAATCGCAATTTTATGTTTTCGTGAAGCAGTAATAATGTAAAATAATTTTTCGAAAGATGATCTGCATACTATCTGATAAATTTTCACCATCATCATGATAGATAATACTAGCCAATGTATATTCACACTTCTCTTATCTTGAATTTTGATACGATAACGTAATTCTCGTGCAGATGAGCAGGAGAGACTCATGTATGCAGTTTTTTTCCACGCTCAATCGGCTCAATGTGCAGCCGACTGATTTCCGTCTCCACAAAGGGAAAATACAAGTACAGGGATGTTTCGGTATTCATGGAATTACGAAGACTAAAGCAAAGGGAAATCAGACGAACGAGCGGGGAAAAAGAAAGTTATTCGGTATCCACGGTATACACTCTTGCTTATCTTCGTCTCGTCGCTCGAAAGCTACGCTGGATAAGTTTAAATATCGGGAAATATGCAGAGCCGTTCCTGGAAGAAAGCGGGAAAGTTTTGCGAATGTCGCCCAGTAAGAAGACGACTCATCGCTTACTCCGACTTCGATGCTCTGAGAGCTTTAAGTCGTCTTTGCATTAAAATCACGGGAATTCAAACGTTCTCGCAAGCGGCCCTGCGCGAATTTTAATAAATTCTGTTACGCACGACTCTCTGTACGCAAAATAGTCGATATAATGTGATTTAACGCTTTTTAATGCTTTATTAACTTTTTTCAGAAGCGTATCAAAGTATCTTCGATGCTTCGTGTGGAAAAATTGTCGAAACAATTAATTTAATACGTTTTTATTTTTGGAAATTAAATATTTATTCAGTTTGCTATTTTTTAATTTTTCAAAATTAGTGAAAATATAATGCTCTGTAAATCTCATTTATTATTACAATACAATTTCTTACTGGTAGATATTTTTACATGCAATTTTTAAATAAATACTATTTAAATGTTTTGAATATTTTTACTAAAGGTGCAATAAATATTTTTAATAAAAGATAAACGCTCGACTGAAACGCTCTAGCTCGGGATTATTGCTTCACGAGTTTTGCGAGTTTCGCGAGTTTCGCGTGTTTATATCGCACGTGTCACCGATTTTACGTGCGTCAGGTGCTAGAGAGACGAGAGACGAGAAATTGCTCAAGATATCTCTCAGACATTGCGGCGGATATTCGGGCGTTTAATGCGAGATTTCGGGCTTCCGCTGCGTCAGCCTGCGCCTTCGCGCATTTCGGCTCTTTTATCCTTTTAGCTCCCAATTCCGCGATGGGATCTCACGAGGCACAAAGCACCATGCATGCTTTTCGTCCCAAATTTCCTGAATTTTCCGTAAATTCCTATAAATAACTCATCGGAGCTTTAGACAAAATTAATCTCTTAATGGCGGCACGCACGCAGATATATTCATTTAACAATAGAAGCAACTTTCGGATTTGGATGGATGAGTAATCCATTAAATTAACTTTCGTATTGTTGTTGTAAATTCCACTGCATTCATGTTCGTATATTGCAATTTTAGAGAAACGCAGCTCGCATGAAAAAACAGATATCTGTTTAAATATAATTAATATAATAAACAGAGTTTGATGTTAAAAACAGAAGCAGCGGACTTGATATCAATTAATAATTATGAATAATAATTATAAGATATTCGAAATGTACTGAAACACTTGTCCACTGTTTTTCATGCAAGAAACGATCGCGTCATTCTACGGCTATGTATAGCATTTAACTCGTATCTGTTTGCACTCGTTAGCGATCTGTTTAATTGACGTAATGTACGTGCGTTCCATGATAATGTTTACTAGCTTGGTCCAATTAACTACACGAGTTAATTACTATCTGCGGTCTTAAGGCTATAAGGAATCATTGATTGACTTGTCATTCACATTTTGTAGAAACAGAATTCAATTAACTTTTCCGAATAATCTAATTATCTTTAAAAAAATAAGATTATCCATTAATTAGTTCGTTGACTAACACACGTGAATTATTTCTGTCTGTTTAAAACATTTCCGATTTATTGACAACGAGTGAGGGACAGAAACGCATCTGCAATTCACGACCAAATTTATTCGATACGAACGCAAGTGTAATGTTGCGCATTTGTTTCACTTCTCGCGGAAAAAAATCCACAGCCGTATAATTTACATAAACAGTGGGCTATTGTCAGGGACGTTCTAACGATGTAAATCACGGGGATCTGACGAGGGATGGGAAATGAAAATCGAGAATTTCCGAAAGCAGTTAGCAATTGCTCTTTTCAACGGCACTCGACATGCGAAATTAAATCTGACGAGGGTCCTCAAATTAAATATTTCTTCCCCTCTCACATTGGTTCACCACCGAACTCTCAAAGTCCGTCAAGTCCATCCCTGAAAATATCTTCAGAATGCAAAGTATCTGGAAAGTACGTGCCGGTCTCGTTACTCTTGGCAGACACCACACGCGCAGTAGAGTTTTAAATTAAAAACTGCACTGTTGATATTATTAAAGCAAGATACTGAATATAGAAAATGTTAAAAAATTCTATTTATAGCGTACATTAAATGTACGTAGATTTAAAATAGATAACATCTCTCTCAATTTAAAAATTTGTTTCGAGTCTTTTGCAAAACATTTATTTTGATTAAAAATAGCATTAAGTTAATCAATTGTCTTTATCTCGTGGCTTATGTCTTATTCATAACAGAGGAAAGCTCTAAAATATATCTTAATGTCATAATTCGGAAAAAGTGGATGAGACCGAATAAAATATCGAGGTCAAAATAAACGAAAGAGAAAACTTTTCACACAATCTTTTTGAAAGCTTTACGCAATTCTTGTGAGAATTAATAACCGATCGATAAGTCTTGCTTCTCATTCATATCTGCAAAGTGAATAATACCATAAACTGGGTCTTAATTCATTTTACAGATGTGATCATCTCTCTATGAATTGCTCTGATAAAATATATATATCTTTTTAGAAAATAATACAAGAGATTATCTCGAGATCAGTAGTTCGAAAAACGAATGTCGAATCAAGCAAACAATTACACGTTAATTACTTATGAAATTTTCAGCAAAATACATCGTAGACGGGCAAATCCTAATCCGCGTTCAATGCCGTTCCCAAGTTTTAATTGAAATCAGACCCGAGTGATAAATCCACAATACTCGGTTACGCGAAGATCGCATCGTGAGCATTGTGCGTGTTTCAACTGTACAGCCGAAATTCAGATTGTCATCGAGCTAAAATTACTAACCGCCCCGGCACATAACCCACTCACTGACTACACAATGGCTTTTTGGAAACTTCCTCCAGGTACGTCTGCAGGCCGTACTTCATCAAAGTTCTCTTCCGCCGACGTCGAACATAATATCGCGTATATGAACATACATACATTCGCGTCGAATGTCACGTCTGTGCGCACACATTCGTGACGTACATGTCAGTAGTAACCGAAACTTGAAGCTAAAAGCACCATCCGTGTCTCTTGAACTGGAGCTTCCACCATTATGATTGCCGCCTTTCAAATTCAAATGACATTCGAATTATGTAGGATTTAGTTATCTTATCGTTCTGGTAGCAGCATACAGATTTAAGCTCTTTACGATTCACGCTTCGAAAACGCGCATAATAATTCCGTTCCGCCGCGAGACACGCCATTAATTCCACATCAATATCCACTAATCTTAATACGCAATCTTAGAAGGCGTGTCGCATATTTTAACATTATCTTCACTCGCATACTCGTGAGATTGGTATTACAAATTGATATGAATAATTTCATTCAAATGTTTTGGCTAAATCTGTTTACATGACATGATTACGATTATTGTATAAACATACGAT